AGCGGCCCGCCCGGACCGGAGCGGATCCAACCAGCTTCTCGCAACCCGCGTGGTGCCGAGGCGGCTCGCAGCGGGGGAGCGAGGTAGGAGCAGGGGCCTCGCGTTGCTCCAGGCGTTTTCTTCCCACTCACTCGGCAGCTTCCCCGCTGGACTGGTCCGATTTTTTTTTATTATTATTTTTAAGTATTTTTATTTTTTGGTTAAAACGAGTGTGTACAGAGCCATTTGACAGTGTGTACTTAAGTCTGGAAGCCCCTGCGCCCTGGCTGCATCCCTCATGCTCCGGCACTGCGGCGCTTGCGGAGGGGAAACTGGGGTGCTGCCTTCCTGCTTCCCAGCTATCACAAACCTTTCCCATTTGTGTCCTCTGGTCTCAATGGCTGCTCTGGCCTTTCTGAGTTTTTTTTTTTTTTAATAGACCTTTATAACCTGCTTTGCCCTAGATTTGCCTTAGCTGCAATTATAGCAGTTTGAAGTAGGATAGCTGGGATCCTGACTCTTCAAGGAAATAACGCTTTTCCAAGTGAGGAAAGATAGTTAGACACCCACCACCGTTGTGGAGAGCATCGCTTTCCTTTGGCTGCCTTTTCAGTTCTCCTTCAGCCCGGTTTTAATCTAGTGACAGATGTAGTTCTCAGTGGGCCATCGTGTTCCCCCTTTGCTTTCAGACCATACGCAGAATTTCAGACCCCCGTGGACTTTCAGGGAAGGGCATGCCAAACCTTAACAAGAATTTTGGGAAAGAACTGACGCTGCCTGCTCGGCTAGGGAGCAGAGCGTGAGTTTTGCTGCATATGTTGCTTTTGGGAACTCGGGCCACGGCCCTGCTGCTCGAGCCAGGTATGCAAATACATAGGATTTGCTTCAGTAATTATAAAGTTACTTTTTCAGCAGCTAGAGTTCCAAATTTTTTCAAAACTAGCTGAAAACATGGGTCACTGGGGAAAGCATTTGTTCTAGTTAGATATCCTAGCTTGCTGCCAACTGCAAATGAGGCTTGCTTATGGGAGGAGTAAGGGTTGTGAAACGTGTACATGCTGTCTGGTCTCAATATTTTACCAGGAGTGGTTTATATTTAGATCTTCTCTGTAATGGCAAAAGGGCATCAGCATTAATAATACTCTTTTGGAGTTGTCACTTCAAAATTTCTAATTATCTCAGGGAGCACAATGGAGTTACAATCATGTATCTTCACCTCGCACCATGGAAGCCCAGGACGGTGCTGAAATGTAATTCTACCAAAATAGCTAAACAACGATCTCTTTCTTTGCTTAGTGACACCTGGTAGTCTTTCTTTGTTTAGTGACACATGGTTCCCGGTGCTCAGTGTGTTTTTTTCCTGCCCTGCTAGTTTGCAGATTCGAGCTGGGCGCTATCTGAAGCCGCATGTTCCTCTTTACAGAAGTTTTGTGGTTGAAAGGGAGGTGATTTACTGATGATACATGAAGCAGAAAAGCAATGTTGAATGCTTTAAGTTCTAACCCTAAGCATTTATTGCAAGGCAGGCCCTTTCCCAGCACCATAATCAGTTAAAATTAAGTGTGAAATTTTATTTACCTTTTGAAGTTGGCACATTGAAGTTTGGAAACGCAGTCCTGAGTTTCTCTGTACAGCTCTGAAAGTCTAATTTTTCTTTCTTATGTAAAAACTGAGGTTTCTGTGTGATGACCTTACTCCAGCAGCTGCAGCTGAGAGCAAAGCAACAAATGAGAGACTCACGAAAAAAATAGTAGGAGTTGGCAACAGTGAGAGCTCTGTTATTTCTGTAGTATGAGTGAAATGAAAATCAAATTTCACCCTGTAGGGGTTAGTTTGTTCTGCACAGCAAATAGAAATTCATTCCTTTTTTTTTTTTAAGTAGCCAAGTAGTATTCAAATATAGAAGATTTGTCAGGGAATTGTAATTTTTATGAAGTCACTTTTTCTTTCTGACCCGATTTGTACAACCAAAGGGGGGTTCTATTAGAATTCAGTAAGTGCCTTGAGTAAAGGCTGTGAGTTTTGGACATGATCATGATACTTCATAGAATCATAGAATGCTTAAGGTTGGAAGGGACCTCTAGAGATCATCTAGTCCAAACCCCCGGAACACGCAGGGTCACCTAGAGCACGTGGCACAGGGCTGCGTCCAAGCGGGTTTGGAAGATCTCCAGAGAAGGAGACTCCACAACCTCTCTGGGCAGCCTGTTCCAGTGCTCTGGCACCCTCACAGTTAAAAAATTTTTTTCCTTAAGTTCCTGTGGAACTTTTGGTGCTTCAGCTTGTGGCCATTACCTCTAGTTCTGTCAGTGGCCACCACTGAAAAGAGGCCAGCACCATCCTCCTCACTGCCTCCCTTGAGGTACTTCTAGACACTGCTCAGGTCCCCTCTCAGCCTTCTCTTCTCCAGGCTGAACAGGCCCAGCTCCCTCAGCCTCTCCTCATAAGGCAGATGTTCCAGGCCCCTGATCATCCTTGTAGCCCTGCGCTGGAATCTCTCCAGCAGCTCCACATCCCTCTTGTACTGTGGGGCCCAGAACTGGACACAATACTCCAGATGTGGCCTCACCAGGGCTGAGTAGAGGGGCAGGATCCCCTCCCTCGACCTGCTGGAGACCCTCCTCTTAATGCACCCCAGTATCCCATTGGCCTTCTTGGCCACAAGAGCACACTGCTGCCTCATGGTCAGCTTGTCGTCCACCATGACACCCAGGTCTTTCTCCGCAGAGCTGCTCTCCAGAAGGTCGGTCCCCAGCCTGTACTGGTGTCTGGGGTTATTCCTCCCCAGGTGCAGAACCTTGCACTTGGCCTTGTTGGATTTCATGAGTTTTTTCACCGCCCAGTTGTCCAGTGTGTCCAGGCTGGCTTCTTGCCAGTTACTTCTTGCTGGCTTCTTGCCAGTTCCATTTCAGGTAGTTTCCATTTAAAGAGCTGATATATTCTTTCATCAAAACCAGGGTTTGCAGTGGGAGCTGCTAGAGACCAGGCTGTTAAATTAAGCTATCTATTTGTGAGCATCAATGAGACGTTTCTGGTGTTACACTATGTGCACTTGTCACAGTCCTGCTGCACCAAGGTTGGAGTGAGAAGGTGGCTAGTTGGCAGTCACTTAATCAAACAGAGATGTCGAGTTCTCAGGTAAGCCAGGTAGGGTGAGGCTTGCATGCTCTGCTGCTTTTACAACCACATAATGAATATGCTTTCCAGAACACGTGTTCCTCATAGTAGAAGCAGCAGCTGCATGTGATCTGTGTCACTGACAAGGGAAAGTGAGATGTAGTTAATTCTGGGCTGTGTAACAAAGACATATTGATCAGAGCCGCTCTTGCTACGGCTGAGTATATGCAGTAACAGTGGCAATGCAGCAGGCCAAAATGGCAAAACCAGGTATGCTTTTGTTTTAGGAATACAAAAGAGAGGGGGCTCCCTACCTAGCCCCAGGGCTGAGCGCC